TTTCCTGGAACAGAAAAAGAAGGATTTGTGGAACAGACTATCTGTCTACAGTGTCAGCTAATTGGTGCTGTTATAGTAGGACTCAAAGAGATGGTGTGGTGCTTCGTGTCATCGTTTTAAAATGATAATGTTACAGTTTTCACGGAAAAATGATTCATGCACGAAACCTTACCATATCATCTTCTATAATTCCTTTTCTCTTCAGCAACTATCCCTACCCTCCCTCAATGTCTCCTTAAAAAATCGGGGAATTTATATTTTCTGAGTGTTTGCTATTCAACGATCTACCTTTCCAACAAGATTGAACCTACGATGTAAACGTCAACTTGACGTCTTCGCAATTCGGCAACAAGTTCAACAATTCCAGGAGTGACTCGAGGTGGATGCTTGCGAGCGAACGCCTCAACTTGCTTCAACGTTGGTCGCATTATATTCAACCGCTTCGTTAGCGACTCTCGAAATGTCATCGAGCCATTCATTGCGATTTGTGTACATTTCGCTATCTCTTCACCAACACCCAAAAACGCGGCCAATTCATCGATTAGTTCATCCTGAATTATGCAAATTCAATAATGGGTTCTTTTCGATAGCACGGTCCCTTNTCATGGGGAGTTACAATAAAGATCAAGAATTCGACGAAGTTTCAGGTTCATTTTACGCCTTATTTTGACTAACACTTAAATAGCCCTTAAATAGCCAGACATATAATTGAATCGACGTACCTGACATATAGTTGAGTCGACATCAAAACATACAGCATCTGCATTTTGCCATATTCTTTTCGCGGTGTTCTCACGTTCCAATTCATTCTTATCGTTCACTAAAGAGAACGATGTACGAGCAGCTGATGAAGGTAACTGGTTTTGTTGTAGTATTCCTGGACCCATTGTTGAGGTTATTGCACTCGATTGAGCTGTAGAATTTATGAGCAACGAGAAGGGAACTGAAAATTATTTGTTTTCAATTCATCGTTTCTTCATAAATTCAATTTCAGAACATTTCGAATTGTCTGTAGTCTTTTGAAGTGCTAATTTATACAACATACGTTTTATCTGACGAATATTGCAACACGCGATTCGTATCAATCGATTCCAACGAAGACTCACCAGTGGTATGTTGATTCTTAGAAAGACGTAACGAGTGAAAAGGAATGAAGTCGTTGTTAGAGTTCAGTGAATTGTGCTCCTACCTGAAAATGGAGATGAAATACTGATGGTGAAGAACATTGTGAGGAACGGCGTACGATAGTTCATCAGCACGTAGTCGACGACAGTTTTTCAGTAGGCGGCGGATAGAACGAATGCGACAATAATCATGTTTTCAGAAAGCTTGTTTTTGTTTTTAAAGACTGTTTGCTGCAAACTGAATGTGACAAGTTTTCCATCTTATCGCTAGCAAACCGTTGAATGCAATTTACCGGACGCGAACGTTTGGTAGTAAGTTAATGTAAAATGGTGTAAGTGACAGCAAATCGAGGAAGCATATGTAGATTCTTTGCAAGCAAGCGTCGTAGACTAGTTTGACATTTATTCACCAAATTTATTCTTCTGGTGATGTCAGTTCTGATTGAGAATTTATTCACCGTCGAAAATTGTTTATTGGTTATTGAAATATCATTTAACACTGATGGTGTTGCAAACGAATTGTTATGAAGCATAATGAATGTGCTCAATTATCGATGAAACAGCATCGATTGCACCGCATTACGATCGTTAGTGAATGTTTATGACGCTCATCACAACAGATTGTAGCATTGTGCCTACTGTCGTTCAGTTACTTTACAAATGATAAACACATTATTATCGTCAATGGATTTGTTGTAATGAAATTTACGTTCAGCTGTTGAACTAGAACAAAAACTTTATGCTAATGCCTATTAAACATTCGTTCGTAATGAAGCGTTACGAACGAATGTTTAATAGACAATAGCATAAATGTTTTTTTCAGTTAACAGTAGGATTCAGGATTATCACTGAAATAGGCCATGTGAATGCAATGGAGCCGTTCAACTCAAAGCGGATTCTGAAATCAGTTTGAGCAGTTTGCATTACAAGAATTAAGAAAATCGTGCGTAAAGTATGAAAGAAACAGCTCAAACGTCATTGAAATCAGTGATTGAACATCATTCACCGGGCTTTGCTGCTGCATGATGTCGAAACATAATCCTATGAAATGACTGAAAGATAACTCGAAAGATCACGAAAAAGTCGAATGAGAAAATCGTGTGAAACATGTGGATGAAAACATTGACTAATGAAAGATGAAAGATGATGGCATAACTTTTGATTATTTGTATTAGACTTGCCCAATGCCAAATGGCATACTTGTACATACGGAAACGAGAAAGTTTTATGGTATGCTCGAAGAAATTCACCACCAATTCATTACATTCGATCATACAACGACAGTAATAATATAGACGAGCGGTGGTGAAGCTGATTGCTCACAGAAATGATCTCAAGAACTACCATAAGACTTCGTCGTTTCCATATGTACAAGTAAGTGTGTCATTTGGCATCAAACAGATGTTACCGAAATTAGGCAGATTTGATGGGTTGTGATCGCTTGCTCTTATTTAGGCAGACATCTACGATAACTCATTTGATTGTGTGAACAATTTACTGCCCATCTCTGATTCATAAATCATTTGAGGAAAGATGCGATGATGATAATAAATTGTCGAACAGCCCACCGCTTATGAGCAAGAAAGGTGTGAGCCAAAAAAGATTGCAGGGCATGTTGTGCAAGCAGCTGAGAGGTCGATCAATCAACGTACTCATATAAAACGAAGTGACGTCAAATGGACACTCGATTGAAATGAGCCTAAAACCATCAGCAGCGATGGCACTGCATTAGGAGAGAATCGAACTCTGTGAGTAATGCCAATGGATGTTAGTTTGTCACGATAGCATTACAACGTGGATTTTGAATCGCTACTCGTGTTCGAACACTGGTGATTAGTGAGCATGATGCGATCGAATAAGCGAACTATTCATCAGTTACAACTCATCGAAGCTGTCAAGTTCCATTTATCAACACTGAATCGAGCTTTCAAGGCAATGTCATACACATTCATTGATGAACGAAACTCTTTTTCTTTGAACAAAATATAATCGCTTTTAAATAGAATAAAGAATGCAGAAATAGCGATGACCTTAACTTCACAGGAAATCATAGAACCAGTTCCCTTAGGATGATACCTTCGGAGTATTCCCACAACACTGTTAAAACATTTCAGTAGCTCTTGATACGTAATGAAGTTATAAATAAAACAACGAGTTTGTTTCAATGATGTCAAGTGCAAGTAAGTTCATGTGATTTAGAAGGAATAACTGGTTCCATGAAGGCAAGATAGAAATGGAAAGAGTCCGAACGAGATTTTTGTCACATTAGTTCCTCGTTCGAAAAACTTCGGGCAAAAACTTCAGTTATTATTGCCGACTGAGAAAATTGACGAAATTTTTCATGAATGTCCATTATAAAAATTCCAGCAGCAACAGATTTCTTATTGATGATCAGATTTTGAGATCATGTAAATAAAACGTGAATACAACATCTTTCTCTAATGGGAATGCAAATAAACTTCTCGATGATGGAAGGATAGTTGGAATCGTGAAGGATATAATTATAGCCATAACAGATTTATTAGGTCAGTGGATATTGCTCATTGGATACACACACAACAAAGTCTTTGGATTGTGCGTACGAATATGAAGATCATCAAAAATTTGTCGAGTTTCTGTTGCTTGGGCATGATGCAATGAAATGATAATGAGCGACATCGCTTTGGCAATTCTTAACTGGCAACCAATATTTGTGACATTTCAAAAATTATTACCTGTAGGATGATAGACCTCTTGAAGTGGTTCACAGACGTTCTATGCTAGTTTTTGATGGAAATGGTTAAAAAATTCAGACTGCTTCGAACATGTGAACCAGCTGATTGCGTATAAAATGAGGAAAGCCCTTCGTGTGACGAGCTCAGTTCAAAACCGATAGAATAAAACAGTTGCTTTAGGGCGTAAACAGCTGCTAGCTATCGAATGGCACACAAGCACAAGTGAATGCGTCACACAGCAACATAAACCGATCGATATTCAAAATAAAATAAGCTATTCTTTGTTAATTTTAAGGTTTATGTATGGTTTTGTCAATCGTTTCAGTGCTTCTGAAGCATATCTCTTTCGCACAAACGTAAATCACGAGAAGTGAACCGACCAACGCTGACAACACCTAGCAAATAGCTTGATAACGCAAGGAAAGGATCCAAGATCAACAGTTTAAGAAAAAAGTTGCTTCGTAGCTGAAAAGACGTAGGGAAGTCCGCCACAAATGAAATTTGCACACGAACGGGTTCTTGCAAGAAGATGATGACAAGAAAGATTTTCTATGAGAAAACGAATGCAAAATATTGGTCGCCATCGCAACTCACCATCGCCATTCGTTTGCAACAGAAAGTGAATGAAATCGCAAAAAACAACTTCAGAGTATTGTTGAATGCTATGAACTAAGCCTTCTGCTTCAGTCTATAAACACAACGGAGGTACGTCACTGAAGGATACCAAATAAACTTCTTTTTGAAGCATCACTTGACTTATTCACATGAAGAAACAGGTTGGCAGGTGCATGTTCGTTCCACTTATAACAACTGATGACCTCAAGTTTGCGCTGATCTATGTCGAAATCGTAATGATTTCTATCGAAAGGGTTATCAAATGGCAAGGCATAAACAAATGAAAACTTTTCATTGAAACGATAGCAAAATAAGCGAACATTAACCCTTCCCTTTCGGTTTGTGCCCCTAGCTTTAGTGACATTTGTTTATCGTGTCCGACACAGCAACGATGCCATGTTTGTTTGTTGAGTAGCGATGAGCATGGTGGTTATAGCAAAACATGGAGGGAATACGTTTACTGAGAGAAATGATGGCAAATGCACCATAATAATAATAATAGTAATAATAATAATAATG